TGCGATAGTAACTCGTTCCTATAGCTAATGAAAATATAAGCGACAGTTAATAAGTCATTTGAATTGTATTTCAAATGTTGCGAAAAAAGAATTCATCGATAGTGTCTATTTCAATTCTACTTCTAATAGAAAAATAAATTCGTAATTTACTTGTAGATTTACATTGTGAATCTAATATGTTTGATTGATTATTTGTTGCTAAAAGAGTTAATTCACGTATTTGTCTACATTGTCCTATAATTGGAAACATATCCAAAAGATTTGTCATAGTATATACATGAAGTTGACTTGCTTTTGAATACATTTGATACATATGTTTAATAGGAAAATTTTTTGCTAAACTAGATCTTATTATAAAACGAGAAGAAGAATATGGTAATGTATGAAGAAATATTCGTTCATCAATTTCACTAAATGAATATACAATTGGAATTGATTGCCAAGAATTTATAATATTATTAATATCTAATGGATAATGATCTTGTTTTAAATAATAACAAACAGTATAATTAAATTTTTTTAATCGAATAGGAAATATGGAGAAAAGTTTTTCACCATTAATTAAATTTGAATCACGTGTAGATATTGTTAAAGAAAATTGTTCAATTACAGGAACAATTGTTAATAAAGAAATAACATCATCAAAATTCGAATAATAATTAATATTCCATAGAGAAAATATTTTGAGATTTAATAGTTTAATATCGAATGGTACTGTTTTTAATGAAGAATTTTTTAATGATACATCAAGTTGTTGAATATTAGGAATAAAATGAATAAGTCGAGAAAAATCTGTTAATGTATTGAGTTGAATAGTTAAAGAATTAATATTATGTAATATAATATTATTTAATGAATAATTCGATAAATTCATTGAATCACAATCATAATCAAATATAACATTCGTTAAAAATGAATTTTTATTATTAAATACTTTTTCGATTAAATTTCTATCATCAATTAATATTGAACATGATAATTCTTGTATAATAAGTTTATGTAAATATTTCATATCTTGTAAAATATCAAGAAAAGATACTAATTTTTCACTTTTCCAACTTGTTAATGTTAATATTTTTAAATTTGAAAATATTGTTGATATATATTGATCGATTGAAGATGGAAATGATGCTTGATGTAATGGATGAATTGTTAATGATAGAATTGATGAACCTATTTGAGGTAAAATATATTCATAGATATAAAGTAAGATTTTATAGGAGGCTCGACGAAAATATACATGTTGACGATAGAATGTTATTGTTTGATTTATACGTGAATTTAAATTAAAAAATGAATAAAGAACATGACTACAATGAAGATATTGACAAATTTCTAAGATTATTTCATCAGGTAAATTTTCAAATGTTGGTTTATACATCTAGAATTAATTAAAAAGAAATGAGTCAAGTCCATCGTAAAAGGTTAGTTGGTATATTCACTTCTATTTCTACGATAAATCGTTACTATGCTGATATAAGAGGAAAGAATAATATTTTTTTTAAATTTAACTCTGTTCTTCCTACTACTGCCTAATCCTACCGATAGTTTAAACCAGTAAAAGATATAAATAGAATATATTTTCATACTACCGAGTGATCTTTATTTTACTCACTAATTTATAACACTTGAAATTAATGAGAAAAATGTACAGTATTTGCGTGTGACTCATATCGTTCAGAGTGGACAATATTCGTACAATCAATTTCAAAGCACACCTAGCGCCTTTACATGTATTTTAAATATCATTTGTTAGAATTAAAATAATTTTTGTCAATAAAAAAAATATTTATTTTTAATATGTGACAATAATTATATAAATTTTAGATCAGCATCTCGTTTCAATATTTGAAAAAATTTATTTTTTATTAATTATATGATTTTCACAAAATATTTTAGAAAATAGTATGTAAGATTAATTTTCTAAGTGACAATATAGATTTATTTGTATTTTATTAAGAACTCAGGGAACAAATACAAATGAAGAGGTTTACACTCAGATTGAAATTTTGTTTTAATCGACAAACGAAACACAACGGATAGGTAATATCTATTTAATATTTTCTCTGAAAAAATATTTCGTGTTATTTTAGAATTGATCGTTCAATTTCTGCTTGCGTATAGGCTATCTGATCAGCATCTTAAACAATTTGTTTTTATTTTGTTGACCAAAACAAAACGATATATCTGATTTCCTCATTAAAATTTTTTGATTGTTATTATCTTGTATTCATTCAAGATGCAAATTCTCATTATTTTTTCGAAGCTTATTGATTGAAAAAAATAAATTTGTTGATCATTATAGACAAAAAGATATTATTAATGTTATGACTTTGCAATGTACCACGTCATGATGATATCATTATAAAATAGCTTTGTTCTTTTCGCCGAGTTTTTCTTATCTGTTTAATGTATTATTTTCATTCTATAGATAAAGTCGATTGGTATAGTGTAATACGCCTCCATTATCTAATGTGGCAATAACGAGTCCCATGACTCGCTTTTTTCGTTTCAAAATAATAGAATAATAACACCGTCCTTAAATGCCTCATAATGACGTCAATCAAAGGAAGGCATGATAAATACTTTTTAGATCTACGAAATTTTTGTTCGTAGTTACCTTTCAATGTTTTCTCCTTGTATTATTAGTTCAAATGAATCATTTTTTTTCTTCTAAAAGTGTGCCGTACGGATACTGATCGACTTCCTTTTTCCTTTTTTTTCTATTTAAAAACGAGAGAGAGAGTGACTATTTATTACAAGTTATTATATATGTTCACTGCATAACCTCAAACATTTTGCTTTTCTTCTTCATCAAACACTTTTGTATGGTAAATTTGCCTACTCATTCTTAGATTTGTCGTCGTCGTCTATACACAGACTCTGAATGTCATAACTTGGCAAAAGAACACAGAAAAAGAGGGGTGTGTCGTATAAAGTGGTGGAAAAGAAAAACGAGAGAAAAGAAACGAAAGACAAACTACGTCAGCACGCAAACAAGGCCGTCCAATAATAATCATACATGAATCAAAAAAAAAAGAAAGAAAGAAGGAGAAAAATGGAGAAAAAGCCTATTTACATTCTGATGCTGTTCTGATCGTCGTACTATATTGTAGATGTTTTGGTAAAAAGAGAAAAAAAAAATATAGATCTATAGATATGTATATATGTATATATATAACGATTGTTTTTAACGTTTATATCAACAATTTTTATTGAAAAAAAAAATCTTTTTATTTCTTAGAATTACATTTGATTAAAATATTATATATTTATTCAAATGGCATCAAAATTATTCAATCGATCACGTCCTATGAATTTCGACGTGAATCCTTCACCTGAAACATTTTATCATATTCCAATCAGTCCTAGTGAGCCTGGCAAATTCGATTTTTATAGGTAAAAACAAATCAATTTTTCTACATTTTTGTATTTATTATATATTGTTATTTGTTAGAGTGCATCTCACTAATCAAGACTGTCATTCGAATTCAATATTCTCTGATAATTCTGATGGTAAGTAAATAATTATTCATTCATCTTATTAAGAGAAAAGGAACTGAATTAATCTGATAGATTTATCATGAAATTCAAACGAAAGAAAGAAAGGAAAAAAATGCTGACGTCATGATTGCACAAGTACTGATGATGCACTTTACCCTTTTTTTTCTTCGTTCTGAATGATCTCGTAAAATTCTTTTTTTATTGTTCTATGTCATACTGTCTATCATCATTTTTTTTCTCTTCATAAATAATAATAACCTACTTAATAATATTATAAATTAGTAACCAAATATTTTTTTTTCTTCTAGTTCCCACGCTTTTTGCGCAATCATCGACTGCAAACAGACGGTGGTCACCATTTGCTGACATTGTTACATCGAATCAATCGAAATCTTCAGTATCGACGAGTTCATCGTCATTAAATTCAATTGTTACCTTAAATTCCCAAACAATAAGTTCTAGTGTTATGTCGAATACTAGTAATACACAAAATGAAACAATGCAATCTGTCGCATCGTTTCCATCATTAACTGATATTGTTAAAAATGCAATGAGTAAAACTCAAGTAAAATCATCTTTAAATCAAATACGACGACCAACTAGGGGAACAACATTATCCACCAAGGATCTTAATCATTTATCTCCTCAGTCAATGTGAGGTTAAAATAAGAAAATAAAACGAAAACAATTTGTCGAACATGCTGCCCATTTATTAATATGTCAGATAAATCAAATTTCTTTTTATTGTCCTTTCCCATCACATGGAGTCGTCACTCTACTTATGCTTTCAATATATTTTATTTTTTGTATTGTATTGTGTTCTGTTCTATCCCTTAATAATGTAACACCGCTTCCATATAACTAATCTTTTCTCTTAAAATTTTATTAAAGAAACAAAATCCAAAGATTAATTAAAAAACATATGTATTTGTATAAAATCTTATGAGAAAAACAATACAATAAAAAAATATTAAGTCTAATCTTTTATCTTGACATAAAAACCTAACATTTAATCATAATACAACGGAAATTACAACTAGAAAGAATTTCAATGTCGGATTTCCTGAAAAAATTCGTCCTACTTGTGGATAAGCTATAAATTATTCTATATATTTTTGCGTGCCGTTATAGCATAAAAAGTCATGATGATCTATACCCTATATTAGGAGATTAGTACTACTTCTTGTCCTTTTGATGGATGAGAGCACAGAAAAGCATTGACAGACTTCTTTATTTTCTCTGAAGAGGATAATCAACGATGCATGTTTTTGGAGAAAAATAAATGCTATATATGCATATAATTATTAATTAATAATCAAAACGAAAGAATATAATCTGTCTGGGGGTGTAAAGTGAAAAGATAGAAACAATTTATCTGCTTTTACTCTTAAAATAAACTCTCATTAAAAAATTGATCGGATAAGCGTGAAAATCATGACTTTAAGTTTGTCAGATTTCTATCTCTCCTAATTGAAAAATGTCATATACAGAAATAACATTTTTTTCTAACGAATCGTATAGACAAATGTCATTTGATAATATTCTATATATTTTTTTACAGTTGAAATAAATCTTATCAAGATGCAACGAAGGATAATTAAAACGATTTGTTTATTGTATATCTTCATTCGTTTTATCGATGATTATTTTATTGTTTTGATAATAACTTAGGAAGAATAAATCATTAATCATTGAAGCGATAATTTTTATTTTTTGTATAGTGACGCAAACAGAGATGAGACAGCCCGGGTGTTGTCTGATCACCTGGATAAAAAACTAGTAATTACCATCGTTTACACTATTTTTAGTACATTTTTTTCAAGAATCATGAGGCGCTCATGCGTTTCTGATAATGAATTATATTTAATATACCTTGATCAACACTCTCCTATCTTTTTCAACGTTCAATGGTTTCTATAGTAATTCAATCTTCATCAAGAGAATTTAATTTAAATATCAAATTTATCGAGAAAAAAAACTTCAGATTATATGAATAGTTTTTTTTGTTATATTAATAGCATAATAGAATAAAAGTCAATATTGACTGTGTATCTAGAAATCAGTTCAAATTTGAAACTATCAATCATATACAAAAAAAATGTAGAACACATGACATATTCCATAGAATTTGAACTGCTTTCTCAATTAACCAAGGACGTATATGATTATGAGTTGACTTGAAAGTCTCATACTACAATCGATAAAGAAAAAGTCTTCGTCAGATTTAGTTATTAATAAATTCTGATTATTTTATTTTCGATGTTATTTACATTAATAAAATTAAGTGATCAGAAAAAATAATATTTCGATTTTATGAAAAAGTGTGCAAACATTGCCGTCTTTTTTTTCTTTGATTTCTTTGCAATCAGTGAAGTTCGAAGATGAAACTAGTTACATTATTCGAGTAATGTCTGATTGAAAAATAATAAATTTTTCGCCTTTCGACAGGTATCTGCTATTCGTCATCGTCTATATAAGAGAAAAAAAGTGTTAATCTAAGGTTTCATCTGTCACTGCACCGTCTCCATCTTCAATTTTCAAAATCTATAAAGCAAAAAAAAAAAGAACGATGGTATCCTTTTTTTCTTCTTTGTTCTGCTCTATCGGCATCACTATGTTAGGCAAATGTTGATTATAGTAGCGATGGCATTACTATATTGAAAGCATGTATTTATACGAATAATTGAAATTGTGAAGAAAAAAAAGGAAAGAAGAGAGAAAAGAGAAATAAAATGACCATATACATTTGTAGACATATATAGTACAATGAGAATTGTGATCATTGACAGTTATTTTTATTCTCATGTAAAAATCTAGAATTTAATAAGAATATTTAATAGATATTAAATGAGGTCGACTGATAATTATTATCAACAACGTAATGCTGGTGTAATAGCAAGTAAACGAAGGTATATATTTTTTCGATTGATTACAAATAAGAATTATTTATATTTAAGCAAAAAATATCCTCTGTTTTTAAAGATCATCTCTTTGTATATGATGTAATGTAATAATATGTCTCGTGAAGTATACTGAGATAATATTATAAAACAGAAGAATAACACTCAGTGAAGAGTGTATATTGTCAAACAAAGTTGAGACTAATAATAAATAAATAGTATCATCTGATCGACCGGATATAGTTGTCGGTGTTATATAAAAAGTCTGAGAAAAAATTAAAAAGAACAGGTGTTTATATATGTTATTCTATTTGAAGGACTTATTGAACACATCTGGCAACACGTACAAAAAATTTTCCCTTTTCTTATCTTTATTCAATATATACATTGACTGGTTTGTGTCTTAGTTTCTTCTCTTTTTTCTCATGTATACTTAAATGAACAGAACTAATAAAAAATAAATTAGCCGGTTGCTTAGTATTTCGATGACTGACAGTTTTTCTTTTTTCTCTCTCTCTCTCCCCCTCTTTTTTCCTCGTTTGTTTCACAAAATGACGATGCATGCCTGATGTGATACCACATTTTTTTTCCTTTAAACATCCTTCTGCAGGATATCCTGTCATCTTTACCTTTTTTTTTCTTTCTTGCTTTGAAAAAAATTAACGGAAAATTTTGCTTTTTAAAATCTCATCTTATTCATTCCATAGACTTCCGTTTGATTCCGCATCAGCTCGCATGTCATCATCCACAGTAACAAAGCGTGCAGTTTCCAACACATTACGTTATCCACAATCTAACAATCGTCACGAGATTTTTCTAAACAAATCGTCATCATCGTCATCGTCACCTTCTGCTTCATCTTCAATTACAGAACATGAAGATGATGATGAAGTAAAAATGCTTGATGAAACCATTCCTGAAAATGATTTCCATGAAGCAGATAAGCGTAAAAAGACAATTACAAATAGTCGTCATTCAGCAATGAATAATCACAACAGTAAAACGGACATTGGTGGTCCATTGATACAAGAATTACTTCAATCTAATATGAATCTTAAGTATGTACTTAAAAGAAAAAAAAGAATTATTTGTATTTTATATATTCTTAAATTCAATTTGATGTCTCACTTTTTTTTCTTCTATACAGAAAAGAAATACGTGATATACGTCGACAAATAAAATATAATAATAATGGATCAAATAAACAACGTATTGATCGTGTAATTAATACGACAAGTCCTTCGAATAAAACCAAGGTGAAAAAACTTATTAAAACAAATAGAAATTTTTATTATTATTCAATATTTAGATTTTAAAAGATCATAATAATGACGATGATGATGATGATGAATGTTCTTTTGCACCTGTTGAACATGATTATTATAACAATTCATCAAAATCCAAACAATATAAAACAGAAGCAACAGTAATAATTAAATAATTTTCTTAATAAGATTATTTTATGATATTATATAGATGTATAAACAACAACTTGAAAAATGTCAAGATACAATTGTTCATCTTCGAAAGACAATTCATTCAATGGAAAAACGAATTGAACAATTGTAAAAGAATTTTATTTTATTTTATATTTTTAAAATAATTATTTTTTTCTAGACGCTCAACTGAACATCGACAAGTAGGAAATGCATCTAATCAACATGAGAGCCATGTTTCAACTTCAAATAACAATACAGACCATCGAGTAAATTATTTTTATTTAGTTCTTCTTTAAAAAGAAAAAATTATTGACCTTCAAAGACGATTATATACTCGTGTTATTAAAAGCATCAGAGCTCGACATAATTTTAAGCTAAGCCAACATTAATGTATTAAGATAAAATCTCGATTTTCAGAAATGAGGTCTGTCTTAAAATCCATTACATCATAAAAAAAAGAATGATAGAGTATGCAGACTTTTTTTTAATAATCAACATAGAAGTGTCCGTATTAATGATAAAAGTTTTTCTCGGAAGACATATTCTTTTAATGAGAAAACTATAGTGTAATTCTAATTTTAGTTTATTCACGAATTATTTCATTTATGTATTAAATATTTACCACGATCATCAAAATTAAAAACAACCGTTCCAACTCATCAAGATATGAAAACATTTATACGACAAACATTTACAGATTTAATTCAACGACCATCAACTAAGGTAGAGAAGATTTCTTATCTTTGAAAAAATGATTGTGTACGATAAACAGCTTGTTTAAGTGTTTCTATACGTTCAACTATTTGAGGTTTAATTAAATTTGTATTTTGTCTTAATTCAAATGGTACATTCGTTGATGATAAATGATTTATATGAATAAATGATGTAACAGAATAGTCTTTAGAAATATTTATATGAATATTAGATTTAGCTATACGACGACCAATTATAGAACATGGTAAAGGTAGTACATTATTAATTAATGGATGTTGTTCATTACATAATGAATTTTCTTGCATTATAGAATACAAAGAAATAATTTTATTCATTTATTTATTTAGATAAGCGCCATTAGAAATCATGACAGTGGACATTTTATTTGTAAATGTTCCGAACGAGTAAAAATTAGTTTAGTTTTTCTTTATTGAATTAATTATTTTTGCAAATTTAGAGTCAAACAGAACATCGTCCATCCTATCAATATTGTCTTACTTTAATTGAACAATGTCAATCTTTATTTGATATAACATGTTATACACAATTATCAACAGCATTAAATGAATTATATTACCGGCATGGTGAATTAGCGAATTTTAAACGATCAATTGCAAGTACACTTGGTGTTACTGGTATAGAAATAAAATACAGAAAAAAACAATTTTTATCTTTTTTTTTGTAGAAAGTACAAGATTAGTTAGTTGCCCAAAATTAATTAAAAAATTACAACAAGTACTTGATGATGCTAAATCAAATGAATTGATTACATTTAAAAAAATGGCTAAAATTAATGATATGAATGAGTAAAAATAATCTTGATACAAAAAAAAACTAAATCTATACGTAATATTTAATTTAGAGCTGTTTCAAAAATTCGTTCATACGATGATTTTGTACCTTATTATCATCAATTTATTGAACAAATGGCAAATTTACTCGGTAAAAAAACTCTTTCTTAAAAATAAAAATCTTTTTTTTTCCAGAAGTATCTAAGGGTGATGAAATTATGCCAGCTATAAAAACACTTAAATTACTTGCACATAGTGATAGTTATCGATCCAATCATAATTATCAACAATCTCATTCTTTACCACGTGCATCATCATTAATTACAAGTAAAAATTCTTATGAAAATAATTTATCACAATCGAAATCACTTCGATTACTTTCATCGAAATCAAATAATGATTTATCAAATGAAAATAACAAATTAATTGATTTAGAAAAACAACAAACTAATGATAGTGAACAAAAACATGATGAAGATTCTCAATAAATATTGTCTATGTGTGTTTGTGTGAATTTAGAAATAGGTGCTCTCTCTCTCTTTTTCATATGTATTTTGTAACTTTTATAATCAAATATGCTTTGAACGTTTGCTTTTTATATATATTCTTTAATATTCAATTATTTGTAATACAATTCAGTGTAGATTATTTTTATATGGTTAAATATAGATCAATATATTCATTGAAATTTTTAAGTATTACTTCAAAAAAAAAGAAATTAAAACATAGAGCTTTTTGCACGTTATACAATATTAGTAATTGAAGGTTAAATAAAACGTGATATAGTGAAGAGAAGAATACTTGGAATGAATT